AAAAACCCCACAAAATGGTGGCAACACGATTTGTGTATTCATATTTTAAAAAGTATTATTAGTTGGTGAAACCCAAAGCCAGGGAACCACTGCCCTGGATTCTTTAGGGTGTGGGTCTTACCTCCCAGTCACAGTCAGGCTGTGACTTCCAACCCCGCTGGCCTGGGGCCGGGGATCCCCTGGTCTCCACTCTGGCCTCTTTGGGGAAAAAGAAGCTGCCTTATGTCCTGTGTAGACAGGGGTTTGGGGCCGGGGATTCCAGAGCCCAATGTCTTCCTTGGGAGGGGAAGAGAGAGGGGGCTCCCTCCTCCCACCGGCTGGGGAGTCGAAAACTCCCCTCCTGGACCAGGGGATTCCCAGGTGATAAGCCCTGCCTTCCTGGATTCTCCCCAGGGGAAGTGGCCGGCTCACAGGTATTAACATATGCACACAATTATACGGTGAACACCTCTGTGTCAACCACTCATTTTAAGAACTAGGGAACTGTGATTCAATATCTTGTAATTATCTATAACAGAAAATAATCCGAAAATAAGTAAGTAAATAATTATATAAATATATATGTATAACTGAATCACTTTGCTGTACATCTGAAACTAACACGATATTGTAAATCAAATATACTTCCATTAAAACAAAAGAACTAGGTTATTGCAAATGCTTTTGAAGCCCCTGCACACCCCTCTCCAACCATGACACTTTCCCTCTAGAGCGCTGAGCCTGCGCTCTAGAGCCCGCAAGCCGCAACTACTGAGCCCACGTGCCACAACTACTGAAGCCCGTGTGCCTAGAGCCCGTGCTCCACAACAAGAGAAACCACTGCAATGAGAAGCCTGCGCACCGCAACGAAGAGTAGCCCCCGCTCGCCGCAACTAGAGAAAAGCCTGCGCGCAGCAACGAAGACCCAACACAGCCATAAGTAAATTAAGTAATTAATTTAAAAATATTGCTTAGCAGTCCTCCACTTGCGAATACACTTGAGACAGTAGGTGTGGTTGCAGTTGGAGAGGATCCCGAAGCTGCGCTCGCTGGGGCTGGCTTTCTCATAGGCCACCTCCATGCAGATCCCACACACCATGTCCTTGCTGCACTGCACAGCAGACGAGAGCTCCATGTCCTTCTCATGGGCCTCGAAATGCATGCTTCTGCTTTGAAGTTCATTAGAGGTGAAGATTGCAAAATTCACCCCTGTGAAAGAACGAAGTGATGAAATACCACCATTTATTCACCTTTTTCCTGTGAATAGGCCTCTGGGTGGTTTCCGGAGTTTTGCTACTATAACCAGTGCTACTGGGGATGTCCTGAGCTCCTGCTTGGTGCCCATGGCCAAGGTGCCGGGCCATCAGCACTTGCTGGTTTCCAAGTACACTCCTGCAGCAATTTACCATCAGGGTGACCCGGATCCTGGAGAAGAAAGGTCCTAGACGCTGAGAGGCTCCGACCCAGCCTCCCAGGTGACAGAGGGCATCTCGGGCTGTCTGGGGTTTCCTGTTCTCCTTCCCAAAGCAAGTTAGTGCAATTCTGTAAACCTACCACGCCAAGTGCTAGTGTAGACACGGGGGTGAATGAAAACTCCTGCTCTCCCCAAGATGCTCGGGGCGTTGAAACACGGGCACGGACGCCCTGAGCACCACCCCTGCCCTTGTGATTGTCCCCTTCTCCCGCCCGCCCTGCACAAGCCCTTGGGTGCCGTGGAAAATGCAGGCCAGGCTGTCCTGAGCCCCGCCCCGACGTCCAGCCATGTGCTGGACAGCTCCCCAGGCTGTCCTTGGGGCCCTCACATGCCAATGGCTGAGGCCAGGGATGCTGCTGACCACCTCACAGGGTGCAGACAGCCCCACACCAAGAGCTCTCAGGCCCCAGGTGTCAATACTGAGGCTGAGGCCCCTCGGGCTAAGGTAACCGGCCTTAGCCTTCACTGGCCCCTCAAGGTAGCAAGTGGGCGTCACCTGGCCTCTCCCCTCCACCCAGCAGCCAACCCCATGACCACTCGGCCTCCAGACCTCCGGCCACCCCCTCCTCCCCCTCCTCTGTGCTCAAGCCCTTCTTTTTTTGTTTCTTTTTTTTTTTTTTTCGTGGTACGCGGGCCTCTCACCGTTGTGGCCTCTCCCGTCGCGGAGCACAGGCTCCGGACGCGCAGGCTCAGCGGCCACGGCTCAGGGGCCCAGCCGCTCCGCGGCACGTGGGATCTTCCTGGACCGGGGCACGAACCCGTGTCCCCTGCATCGGCAGGCGGACTCTCAGACTCCCAACCACTGCGCCACCAGGGAAGCCCAAGTCCTTCTTTTTTTATGGACGTAAAAGTAGTCCCCTCGGTGGTGGTCTCCCCCCTGAAGCCTGGTCAGTGTCGCTCTCAAAGTCTCGGGGGCCTTCCCACTCAGAGGCCATCTGCCGCACGACCCCGTGTCCCCTGCATCGGCAGGCGGACTCTCAGACTCCCAACCACTGCGCCACCAGGGAAGCCCAAGTCCTTCTTTTTTTATGGACGTAAAAGTAGTCCCCTCGGTGGTGGTCTCCCCCCTGAAGCCTGGTCAGTGTCGCTCTCAAAGTCTCGGGGGCCTTCCCACTCAGAGGCCATCTGCCGTGTCATTTTCAGCTATTGTGCAGGGTCATGGCCAAGTCCTGAGCTCAGGGCAGCATGAGGACCCCTTTCCCGGTGCCGTGACGGGCACACGATGCTTCGGGCACACGAGCCCCTCTCCTTGCTGAACCACCTTCCACTCGAGACCCCACATCTCCGCTCACGCCCCATCCTGTAGCGGGTCCCTCACCCCCTTCTCTGATGAGTGAATTCCACTCAACCTTCACGCCCAGCCCGGATGTTCCCTCCCCTTGCAGGCATCCCCAATCCCTCCATTAGAATTAATCTCTCCTGATGACAGTTTCAATTTTCGTCCCAGCCTGTCTTGAACACGGCTTGGATGTAAGGACGCTTAGGAGTACATGTGTGCACCTATGCTTACGCACACGTGTGTGTAGATATGCTTACGCACACGTGTGTGTACGCATGATTAGGAGCACATGTGGATGTGCACCAGCATGTGTGTGCCTCCACTGCCAAACTGTGACTGTCTTGGGATCGGGATCTGAGTCCCCACCATCTTTGTGTCATTGAAAGCCAGCGCTGTTTGCTGATTGTAGCAGGCAGAGTTATGTTCCCGCACGCACAAAAAAGGTCAATCCCTAAGCCCTGGTAGCTGGGAATGTGACCTCACTGGGAAATCGGGTCTTCGCAGATGTGATCAAGTTTACATGTGGTCATATTGGATCAGGGTGGGCTGTAATGCAAGGACTGATGTCTTGATAAGAGGAGGGAACTTTGGACGCGGGCACAGAGGCTCCGGCGCGGTTCCCTGGGACCCTGAAAAAGGCGGACATGGGGTCACGTGGCGGCAGACCCAGGGTTGCCACCGGCAGCAGCAGGACGACAGACGCAGAGAAAGGTCCTGCCCTAGAGCCTCTGGAGGGAGCACGGCTCTGCTGACGGACTTCTAGCCTTCCGAACTGTGGGAAAATAAATATCTGTTGTTTTTAAGCCACCTAGTTGGTGACATTTTGTCACCGCAGCCCTGACATAGCACCGAGCACAGTGCCTGGCACGCAGGAAGGGTCTAGTGAATATACAGTGCCTGCCCTCAAGGAACTTTTGGGGCGCTAACATGCACGTAATTCACTTTTCCTTATTTCTGGAGTTGTCTACGCACCAATCTGCCGTGTCTTTGGGTTTTTGTGTCCATAGACAGGGTGCTGGAGTTTGGGCTTTTAGAGATACCGCTGACTCTCTTCTGGTTTCATGAAGTGTCCCTGGAAAGGCCAGGCTTCAAACGACTGGGATCGTTTGTCCTTCTCTGTTGAGATGTCACCACTGACAAACCATGGGAAGGACATTCTCTATGTCCCCAGGGGTCAGCAGGCTCCCCAGGAAGTGTTGGGCCCCAAATCCCAGCATCCAGGGACCTGGGTTATCACCAGCCCCTCTTT